CGATATCCAAAGCCACTGGATGGACTACGCAGGCTGGAGGGTGCTGCTTGTCATATGCGATTCAAATAATCGCTTCAACCTCTCACAGTGATAGCAATTGCTTACAGTATCAATGCGGCCCTGAAAATAGTTATAGCTTTTTTGGTCAATATTTTACAGCCACAATGGGCCACACTTATAATATTTCTTACTATTTAGAAGTTACAGGTTCAGGTGCTCAATCAACTTTCTATGCTGTAAATGTCTATTGATTGAAGCTATAAACTAACCGGAACTTAAAATCCCAATAAATGAAACTAAAATGCCTAATTTTGCTGAAAAGCAGAGTGTAGGTGTGTTATAATTACTACCAAACAGAATATTGTGTTATTACCTTAAGAAAATGTAAGCTACTGTTGACATATGAGGATTCTATAGTTCTTTAGAAAAATGTATGAAATACGTCGGAGCTGATTGTTTCGTTTGTAATGGGAAGGTAAGGTTTTACCTTTCAATGTTTAGAAGAGTTTTCTTATGAATGAAGTAATAACTAGTGCTTGATTGATGATTTATGTTCAATTTTTATATAAGTTTAAATAAAGAAAGTTAGTGTTCGTATGATAATTTATCTGATAAGTGAAATAGAAATATAATATTTACGCAAAATCGCTGTATAAAGAGAAAATAAAGAATCAAGCAAAATACGTGTTTTAAGTTAATTACTTCAACTCTTAGTTTACCTATTCATTTGTTTGACCTGTGATTGACGTATTCTGTTGATCACGATCCGCTTGTTGCTCTTCTTTTGTTGTTAAAGTATCGAAACCATCGCTCGAATACATATAATTATAAAAATATTCGCCGTGCCCTAGGATCTTATCCTAATTTGTTTCCATGAACTGGATGTCATCGGAATCCTTACAGTAGTCTGAATTGAGAAGTATGCTTTCAGACTGAAAGAAAATTGATTTTCGTTATCGTATACGATTTTAATAAGATGGATAGAATTATGAGTAGAAAATGAAAGCTAATAATTATGACTTATATCAACTAGACCACTTTGAGTTTGAGATGATTTTTTTATCTGGATAGTCTACCTTTTCAAAATCACTCCACGATGTCTTCGATTCATATTTCGATTCTGAATCAGATAATGAATATGTTATAATGAGCATCATATAGTATTGACAGATATTTATTTGTCTGTATCTGTTGGTCCAACTGAAGTAAAATATTCAATTTGACTCTGTTGGATTAGTTCTTCGTAAATCCATCTATATAAATTCAAGCAGCTTCGGAGCAAATATAGCACATATATACTGATTTATTTCATAATTAAAAGACTTTTTTTCATCATTTTTCTGTTCTATAATAACGAAATCCAATAACAAATAAAAGCAAAACTATCTTCTACAAATAAGATACATTTTAAATGTCATTGAAACTGATCTTTGCATTGGGAAATGTCTCTTTTGTTTCATCATCTTCACAACGACCAGCGTTTCTGAATATACACAAATTGCTTATTTGTTTACATAAAGAAATTAATGATTCGTTTTCAGGAGCATAACCGTTAATGATATGAACAGTAATACCATCGACAGTCAAACAACGAAGATTAGGTATTAATAACAAAAAATCAAGAAATTCTAAATCATCTGTTGTGCCATAGTATTTTATTGTTTTAATCGTTGCTAGTTCTATTTTATTTTTTTCTTCAAGAACTGCAAGATCTAAAGTACACGTAAACCATGATATAATCATTGTTTTCAAATTGGGAAATGTTTTTTGAATAAATTTTAAAAATTCCAATGTTATGATTGTTGAAGCAAGAAAAAGTGATTTAATATTTTGTATTTGCAATGGCACTGTTGTATTTGTACGATGGTTAATAATTTCATTTGTCACTGACTCAGATTCTTCCAATGTCCATGGTAAAGAAAATACAGTAAAACAAGGATAACTTCGTTCATGATAACAAATAACTGAACGAGTTAACCAGTACGATGATCGAAATGTTGATATCAATTTGTTTAAACCTAGAAAGAAAATAAAAATAAATGTTGCTACGATATACAACAGGTTCAGAAGGCGATTTCATTTGTTCAAGCATCCGGATAGAATTCTCCATACGTTATAAGCTTTAGTTATGTACTAAACGATTACTCATAGTATCGCTGAAGAATTTCCAGATGGTGTGAAACTCAAATATCCTGAATGGACACATTTTTATTTTCTTACCAGTATCAATATTAATATTTTCTTTGACAAACATGTGAAAAAGAAATTCGAATTTTTTTAATTGTGGCATTTTAGCTATAATCGTCGATTCGATTATTTCACCATCGATACGATCAGAAATTGACATGTCTAATTTTAACAATTCAATTGATTGTTGAAATTGTTCCAAGAATAATAGTAAACGAGGATAAGTGAAATCCAACGAATGAACAATCAATTGTTTTAATACTCTTGATAATGTCGCAGTTTGCTTTCGAATATTGATATAATCATGTTTATCTTTTTTTTCAGCCTCACAAACTTCAACATTTAAATATTCTAATTTTGATAGATTTTCAATTAATATAAATAAATCATGTATATAATGTAATTTAATAGTTAATCGTTTTAAATGTTGATTTAATTTTAATATATTCGGTTGAAATGAAAACCAAGATAAGCTGAAACGATTTTTACTTGTAAATATTAATTCTTCTAGTAAGGAATCATTTTGTAATAATACAATTGCAATATTATTATCGATAGCATCATCGCCATCGGAATGCAAATTTATTGTTAATGATAAAGATTTTGTTTTAAATACATTTAAATATGAAATAAATAGACGATCATTAACACAGCATTTATGATCCAATATCATGGATTTAAGACATTGGTATTGATCATGAATTTTGCTTTCTGTTGAGAATAATGATCGTAATTGTTTATGATTAAATTGAATGTGCGTTATCAAAGGTTTCATTGATAATAAATGCTTTTCTAACCATTCTGGTTTCTTTTTCGACACATCAATTCGGTGTATAAATGGATAAATAAGTAAGTCAAGTCGTTTATTTATACTAGTTAACGACTTAACAACATCACAAGGTGATAAATAAATGAGAATAAAATCGAATAGTTCATTAGCCAACGACATTAATGTTGAACCTGTTAGAAAAAAAAGAGCGAAGTATTTAAATCGCGAGCTATTTCAAGACCTTCAGTAAAAAAATACGAGTTACTAGGGCGATCTACGAAATCAATAGTACGCAGTGTACAACAAAGTAATCAAACAACTACTCATACTCTCTCTCTCTCTCTCTCTCTCTCTCTCTTGAACGAATAATGTACAATTACATTCTTTCTTTTGTTGCAGGTGCTTATCGTTTTGTTTGGAATAAACGTGTGCAGTAGTTGGATTCATGTTTTCTAAAATAAAAAAAAGAAATTCTCTCGTCAATGAGATTGAAATAGGAACTGTTTAGAATGCACATAACATAAAGTGCGTAGTTTTGTAAATAATATCAAATAAACGATTTTGTTTTGTATCATCAAAAAGAAAAATGGAAAAATTTCGAAAGCGAATCTGACAACGGTCAACGATAATTCATAGATAAACTAATGATTAAGAAGAGAAACACTAGAAATAACCGTTAATATTCAATAAGAAGATATTTTAAAAAGAAATTATCACAAACGTTCGAATTCAATTCAGCAGAGGGAGCAACTGTACGATGCCATATAGTACGGATGTCGATGTTTGTACGACTGTCGAAAACAAATGATATCGATATCGAGTACTTCGTTGCTCGAATAATTGTATTCATAGATACATACAATAGATTTTTTTATATGAGAACTATTGCTCATCATTTCTGACTTCAGTTGGTTTCTAAATACATCAATCGATACTATATCTTTAGGATGTGGATGTGGATGTCGCTGAACAGAATATCCACATACCCCTCACCCACACCCTCAAGATATAAACATCTACAATGCTCAGCCCATTTGATTCACAAGCAACGACAACTCTATGATGCTATTTTATTCCGGGAACAATATGAATTTGAGAAAAGAAAATCACTCATAATTTCGATTCGAGTTTTTCATACATAGTGTTGAATTGAAAAGTTTCAGTTCCACTGTTTAAAAACGCTTGATTCTACTATAGAACCTTTCTTGAAATAATATCGATTAAGTGATCCATATACACAAGATACTTAATGATATATTAAACCCAACTAGTAGCAGATGCGTAATTTCAATAAGAAAGAATAATTCCAAATATATTAAAAACGATAATAGAATACCGCAGCTAACAACAAGAAATAAAAACGAATATAAAATAGTGTAGATTATTTTTTGGCAAATAGGTTGATCTTTGATAGAACCTTTTACCAGAATATAAGTTGCATTAGGTCTCCAAGTACAGAATTCATACATAACATCAATAAAAACAACAATAAGAACGGGAAATTGAATTGCAACCGTTATGTACGTAAATGCGTTCGAAAACAGCATAAATGTTGTTTGTTGTAATTCTAAGCATGGTTTTGTATAATCAAACGCAAATAGAACGATAACTGGGATACTAATTGAACTTT